TCCTAGATATAGATAATAGTTCTCCTATGGATTGTTCTCCTAGATGATACATTATCTACCAATTTTGCACAGCAGTTGACATGTCTACTTTTTGCTCGGTTATGTCAATCCAACATGGCAGAGAGTTAGTCAAAAACCTGATTTATTTACAGTAGAATCCCGATTATCATAACATCCGATTATCCTGTCTCATTCTCTCTAATTATCAATTTAGATATTTGAGGATTTGTACAATACCTAATGAGAGAAGATGAAAAAATAACAAAAACTAGGATTGTATGTCAAGTACCATCTCACGTAGAAGCTTATAATGCTCTAGATGTTGCTTTTAAGTGGTTTGAAAGACAGGACGATTCTGATCATATACAGTTGTTACAATTGAAGCGTATCCGCAATGAAAGAATGTGTGATGTGTCGTTACGTCAAAGATCAATAACAAGTTATTTCCAACCAAAATTTTAAATTACATATGTATTAATTATGTAATTCATTATCTATCGTTATAGCTCGTTTTTTATATATCGTATTATCTAAGTAAAACCCAATACCCCCGGTTTTTATAGATCCACATAATCGGGGTTCTACTGCAACATTATTACTGCGTTCTGTTTTTAAACTGGATAGTCCTGATTTTTTGAGCTTTCAATCCTGGTTTTTTAAATTTACGCATGGCAACCCTAGGCTTAGTGTTATAATTTCATCGTAATCCTTACATCTTTGCATTCATTGGTGCTCTGCCCTCGTATTAGCGTAGATGACATTACTATTCCATCATTTAAAAAAAATACTAAGTGTGATCGTCTATTTAGATTACTTGCTTCCAAGCATGCAAGTGAAATTAAAGCAAGCAATGCAATGCAAAGTTGGCCGTATTGTAATACAATAGTCATGATTGAGTGACTGTGTCGTAAGATAGATAATCTCTGACTCAAAAGACTTGACTGTAACTATGTATAATGCAAAAGGTCACAAATAATGTCATGAACTTTGTGGATAACCTATTTTGTAACATGACTTCCTTACTTCGCCCTTGATTTACCGCAATCTATATTCAATAATTGAAATATATAAAGAATCTGACGAGGTTATGTACAGCACTATCTAACTTTCTTGATTATTGTTAATTCCATGTATAATAACAACCTGTTTCGTTTTCAAATACAAAATATTGCACAGTTTCACACAAAAATGGTTTCGCATGAATTGAGACTGGCTTGCATAAGCGGGCATAATCTTCAAAATATGTATACAAATATTCTTATTAATCATTGCTTACAAATAGGTACATATGTTGTGCCGAAAGAAATTAACGTACATATACATATGTCACAATTTTATAAAAAAAAATCTTAGAGAATTGAGTGTTATAGTTAACCATCACATTACTGTTTGGCTCGATAATCTTTGTGCGACTTATTATTATCTACATATTATTACAGTATCATGGAATTATAAAGAAAACGAATTATACGCTAATTATAAACATTAAAAGCAAGGTCTTAAAATAAATAGAAGCTATAATATAATAAATTCATAAAGATATACTTTCACTTAATATTATAAACGCAGAAAAGCTTGTGAATGTGGATGGATGGATGTTTGTTACTATTTCACGCAAAAACTGACTGGATTTTAATCAAACTTACTTAACTTAATAATACGGCTTATCAGACTAACACGTACATGCTCGTAGGTTATAAATTTCACGGAAGTGAAACCGCGGGCACTTCTAGTATACTATAATTAAATAAAATAGCGTTATTTGAAGGCGATTGTACGATTGTTTGTACAAAAATAAAGTTTCATTGAAATGTTATTTTTTATACAAACAGATTTTTGTTATAGATATAATATATTTTATCACTTATTCACGTGTTCATGTACGTGTAGGTACATATATTAGATATATGTATTTAACACATAGTAATTCTATATATTTATTTCATTAGAGAGTAAGTACCTAATACTTATTCTGACATGATAACAATATAAGTTAAACGTACTCTACATTTATTATATAATATCCGAACTTTCACAGATATATTGTAAGTTAAAATCTTGCTACAATAAAATAACTTTGTATGTCAAATTATACTTTTGATACTTATTTATTATTAAAAATTCTGGTATTAGACATTTTTACATTTACACTACTATCCAAAGAAGCAGTGTTCCACTGGATGAACTCTTCCATTGTTTTACACGGTTTATTGTTTTTAAACGGTTTACGGCTCTTTGAACTTTTTGTCGGGTTACATCTTTATTTTGGATATCTGGCACATGTGCACATATGTGCCATGTATTCTTTACTTGTCTGTGACAATTAGGAGTTAAGACTTTGTTAGTCTTCATTTGTTCATCATTAAACCTGATGTAGATGTAGGTAGACATTCATTAAATGAGACTCCTAACTTTATATTTAATTGAGAATGCGTAAAGGTCTATGTAAAGATGTTTAGGTGTTATACGTGACTCGAAATAAATAGGCGAGTAATATCTTAGATTCAAACCCCAGTGAATATAATTTGAAAACTTTCTACGTGCGTCCATGCCGAATGCACTTTTATTTACCTACTCATAGGTTCGTAGGTACCTTCTTGAAAGCTGAAGCGAAACAAGTTTTCCTCTCACAAGGTAAGCACTAATGCAACCACTATGAAAAAATAGTGAGAACTCTCAATTGCACATAACTATCAACATTAAAAATTACATTACTAAAATATTTTTATTACTAACTCTACCGTTCAGTTCTGCTAGCTACTTCAGTTGAGATAAAAGTAACTGAAAAATACAGTGCATAGAGCAGTGTGTTGTGTTCCCATTCTTAATAAAGTATATACCACGCCAGGTATCAAGAGGTGATTTTTTCCGGAACACCTCCTGGTGAATACACCATAATAGGCTAACCGACATGACTTCATCATCATTCTAAACGCACTCGGGAGCACCACTCTATATTCATATACAAAAAATAGAGGTAGGTACATAATGTAATGAGGTCACTAATAGTGGCTACTTAATAATAAAGTGTAATTGGTTAATTATCGTTTGAATTAACTCCATAAAAATAGGGACTGATTCAGAAATGGAATCTTAAATTGGTACACCAGTACAAAATAGAATAACAACACTCTAGTATCGAACATTATTAGTAACATTTAGTATGTTACTGAAGACGGAAATGAATTATAAGGGTTGATCTCATGTTTAATGAACGATGAATATGGAATGTGTGTTCTGCCGGCAGGACATCTGTCAAAGAAGAAATTAGGTCAGGTAGCAATCGTGGAAAATTTACTAGGAATTGGACACGATGTTTTTATGGGAGATCGTGTAGAGGATTTACATGACACGGTACAGTACTAGCAGCCGGGTCACTATTCCCCATTACAATATTTTTTAATCATTACCCAACCAAAAAAAATTAGACTTAGTCACGGTTAGTTCAGAGCAAATCTGTAAACAAATTGTTTCAGAAGTTATCTGCCAACCGTTGAGAATCTGTGTATAATCACAGATAACATTGGTATAATCTTTGTGTATAGTATAGGTACATGCTTATATAGATAACTACCTGAACTTAAAAAGATTTCATGATACAGATGGCCTTAAATTAAGTACCTATCTAAGGTATGATGTATAACAAAATTTTGTATTCAAATGTAGTTACGATATTATTATGATTTAATATTCTTATAGTTACTGTATTCAGAGGTACTGTATGTTTCAAAGAAAAAAAAATCAATTAGACTTAATTAACTATTTGAATTTGTTTCTTCTAAAGTATACCTACTTATCACTATTCCGATAGGATCCATGTGAAGACGAATGTACATACCTACTGAGATTGTATATCACGACCTAGGTACATGTAATTTAAAATACAAATGTAAGCAGCTTATAATAATAAAACAGTTTAATCTTGAATTGTATTTACGCCATCATAGAAACAGATTATACTGAATGCTTAATTCGTCTCGGTACAGCGCTAATGCAGAAGGAAATGCTCATTATGCAAATTGACATAAAAGTAGGTAATTACACAGCCAAAGAGCGCTCCGATTCATCAATATTCGAAACTTCAATTATAGTGCAATAAAGTTCATAAATTGGAAGCTATTAAACAGAATAAACAAAAGCTATTCTGTTTCTTATAATGAAATGAGAAAACACAAATTTCGATAGCAAATTGTAAGAAATAAACAGTAGCGATCGCGCAAATCGAATCCAATTATATTACTCTAGACTAGAGTATAAAATTACCTGCATGTACTGCATGTGTGAAATGTTCTGAATAATTTAAATCTTGAATAATCTCCATCGATGAATCATTTAAAACGTAAATGACTATACTTTTAACTATAAACAAATGTATTATTTTGGACAAAGGGATTTTTATAGAACAAATATTTATTGGAATATAACATAAGAGGGTTTCTACCCCAATTTATAATCTGATGAACCTGTAAATCTTTGTAAGGGACATAAGTGTTAGATTAGTCCGAAAAGTATCAAAAAATTATGTTGTTTTTTTATATTATATAGAATTATTAAAATTCTGTACATATCTAACTTTTAAAAAGGGTAATTTTACAGGTTAATGGGTACATAAATACACACGTGTATGGTTATTAACTTGAATGGCCGATAAAGTAAATCTTTATAAACGTACAATATTCAACATAACAGATAACGGTTCTAATAGCCTACAGATGCCAATCATGTTAATCGTAGATTCACACGCTTGTTTATAAAATTGATTAGCATTATTAACAAAATCTAAACATGAGCTTAAAATTTTAGGAGTCGTTTTTGTATCGATAAGTAGTCGTAATAAAAGCTAAAAATTGTGCCATACGTATCTGACCAGATGTTCGTTTAATTAATTAATTTCAATTGAATAATAGATTCAATTATGTTTCAGAGTACTACAATACTATCAAACAATTTAATTCAATGAAAAAATTAGTCAGTAATTAAAAATATTTTCTTGCTTTCAGATGCCAGTGTAGCGTGAGACATGACTCGAGACAGTTACGAAATGAAGGGCAATCGGCTGTCGCGCGGTAGTTCCCTGTTTGGTAGCGATCCTCAAGTACAATTTAGAACAGCATTGCGTACAAATGATATTGTAACTTTTAAGAAAGTGATCAACTATGTTGACCTGGAATATGTTTATGAATATCCTGATTACAAAACTTGCCTTGAACTAGCTGTCTCCGAACCAAATAAATTAGATTTTGTAAAGCTTCTATTACAACACCAAGTTGAAGTTAATAAACTTAATGAAACGCATGGAGCCGCTCCAATTCATTTTGCAGTTGAAAACGGCAACATAGAAGCCCTGAAACTTCTTCTAGAAGATGACAGAATAGATGTGAATATTAAAAGTAAAGCAAATACTGCACTATTACTAGCAATTAAGAAAATAGAAGACTTGGAAGATGACCGTGAGCGCGAGTTAGATACTTACGAAGATATGATAGAACTTCTTCTTAAAGCTGGTTGCAATGCAAATTCGCCAGATTTGAAAGGTATGACACCAGTATATTCTGCAGCAAAACAAGGTCTTGAAAGAGTTATAAACCTTATTTTGGATTATTCAAAACATTCTATTGATATTGACAGCTATACAGATAGAAGAGGTAAAACAGCTCGAGGTATTTTAAAAGAAGCGTTTCCATTTATGTTAGATAAGTTTAATTCTTCTGCCGAAGTAGTTGAAATGATTGATAATGACAAATTATTTTCGTTTCTCTCTAGACACGACGAAGAGAAATTTATTCGTGACTTCACAAAGCTTGCCAATAAAAATGAACATCGAACTGCACTGACAGCCAATAACGGAATGCATACTATGTTACAATTTGCCGCAGAAAAAGGGCTTGATAAAGTGATAGAAACGCTATTGCATTTTGGAGCTGATCCCAATGCCACTTGTCCGGGAAATGCACATCGACCGATAGCTATTGCTTGTAAAAATGGATTTCATAAAATACTTGAAAAATTTTTAGAAAATGACAACGTATTATTAGACACCTCAAAGAATGAATCACTTGTCCAGGTAATCATAAAAGGAATTCGAACATATTCCGGAAACACTAAAGCAGATCATAAAAGATGTTTGGAATTGTTACTTAATCATCCAAAGAGTTGTACTGATGTTAATTATCGTGATGACAAAAAAAATACAGCTTTGCATTATGCCGCTCGAAATGGTGATAATGATATTGTATTAGAACTATTGCGCAAAGGAGCGTGTATAGGAATACGCAATCTCTATGATGAACCACCATTGGCCGACATTCATGCTAAAACACTAGAAAAATACATGGATGAATGTATTACGACAAATGACGAGCGTCCTAGTGATGATAACTACGAAATAAATATGAAATATAGCTTCCTAGTATATCCTAATAACAATTCACTAGAGGGAGAACAAAGTAAACAACCTTTAATGGATAAATCTAATAACAATTTTAAAGAATATGACACTATTTTAGCTCCTGAAACGGATGCTCTTTTATATATGACACGAAGCGAAGAACTAAGACCGCTACTAAAACATCCAGTAATTACAAGTTTTCTGTATTTGAAATGGCAAAGAATAAGTTCATTATTTTATGCAAATATCACTTTTTATTCTCTTTTATGGTTATGTCTCATTCTTTACATCATATTAGGATATGGCGTAGAACATAAACTACCAGAATCTATTGAAGTATTGAGTACTATTACATATATTGGAGCAATCATTGGATTAATGCTTTTAATTGCGCGAGAGCTTTTCCAGTTTTTGGTTGCACCCGTAAATTATTTACAGAGCTTTGAGAATTGGATGGAAATAGCATTAATATTTGTTACTACTTTGATCTTGTTTTACAATTCTGCATCTGAGTCAACAAAGCAACAGTTATCAGCAGTAGCCATCTTATTATCTTCTGCTGAATTAGTTCTTCTGATTGGTCAATTTCCGACTTTATCAACAAATATTGTAATGTTGAGAACTGTTTCATGGAACTTCTTTAAATTTTTGCTGTGGTATTGCATATTAATAATTGCTTTTGCGCTTTGTTTCTACACTTTATTTAGACAAGAAATAAAAGATGATCAAAAAGCTCCAAATCTTAATAGTAATAAATGTGGAAAAGAAGAAGATGACGAAGAAGACTTTTTCGTAGACCCAGGAAGATCATTGTTCAAAACCATCGTTATGTTAACAGGAGAATTTGATGCGGGGTCAATTAAGTTCAGCGCATATCCTGTAACAAGTCATATTATATTTATTGTATTTGTTTTTATGATACCTATTGTATTATTTAACTTACTAAATGGTTTAGCAGTTAGTGATACACAAGCAATTAGAGCTAACGCGGAATTAGTTGGCCATATATCACGGATTAGAATGATATCATATTTTGAAAGTGTTCTTATAGGAAATGCGATCAGTTACACAAAACCATGGCGGTGTTGGTCATGTATTTCAAGATATATACAAAATATGCATATTATAAAGCCTAAAATGTTAATTATAAAACCTTTTACAAAACGAATAACTCTTTTCCCACATTTTTTGCCTAACTACAGTATTGTCGTGAAACCAAATCAAGACAACAAAATAGAGATACCAAAACCAGAGCCCCTGAGTAAGTTTGATGATTATGAGGGAGATATTGAATCTGGTGGATGTTGTTTAGATAGATGTAGGAATTATAAATTAGATAGACATATTGTGAAGAGTGCTAAACTTGTAATAAATGCTGCAAAGGATTCAGAATTTGATGAAATAAAGAGCCTGCAAACGAAATTAAGTCACTGTGAGACAAAAATCGATGACCTCCAAAATCTATTAGAAAAAGTATTAGATAGATTACAATCTCGTCCATGTTAATTTAAGATTAATTTTATAACATACCAAGTAAGATATTTTATTGAATTGATATTTTAAAAAATAAACATAATTTATCTATATACGACTTTTAAGTTGAATGCCATTACTTCTGACTATGGCAATGATGCTAAGATTAGTGATAATGTCTAATAATTCAATTTAAAATAATTATTTAGGTAGATAAATTTATGTAAAGTGCAAAAGGGCTTATGCTATAACTAAATTGAATGTTGTGGTACTTTGAAAATTATGTTAATAGAAAATACTTATCAAAATTATGAACTCCCCGACCAAACAACTAAGTCGAAAATTACATCTGATTACTTCATGTTACATGAAATATTAGTACTAACTACGCATTGTTCTCAATAAAATATTAAGGTGAGCTCTATTTCCCTTAGTTACTCTACTTAATATATATAATACGTTTCTAAGTGCATAAAATTACTCGAATGCTTACTCCACTTGTATTAATACGTTTTTTTTACTATTTAAGATTGTAATAAGTAAGAAAGTATCATTTTTATTACTATTAAGTATATACAATTAAAATAGTTGTATTTTAGAGATCTTGTTACAGTATGAACCTAATTGTTTAAATAAATCTATATCTACGAATGAAAGCTTATTAACTATTTATTTTAATTAAATTATATACTAATATTTTGGTCCTGTTTATTTATTGAATGATGAATGTAATATTCAATACCTATATCGTCATTTCTTTTAAATCGTTATGACAACCCCTTTTATAGCACTGGTACCCGAAGATATCTCCTCGTAAGATGACTTAAGAAGTGTATATACAGTAATATTATATATTTAGGCACTTAGTTTATTTATACACCGTTGAGATGTCGACTTAATATCAAGGTACTAATTCTAATCTGGCTGAAACCATAACTTTGTGTGTTATTTATATTTCCGATTGATTCTCCGGTAAAGATATATAACAAAAAAATCAACAACAAAACCAAAATATATTCCGATGTACGGTGGAAAACTCGCCTCCTGTCACGTTGGATTTATTATACTCAGAGAAATGTCGGCATTCCAAGCACGGTACGGCATTGCGTACATCTTGAAGCGACAATTGACAATACCTCTGACTACCCCATCCGGGATAATAGTAGAGTAGGTATGTTTAGTTATAATGGATGAACATAAAAAATGCTTGCTCGTTTTTAAAATTCTTTCAACGATAGAACTGTGACCACAAAGGTCTACTGGTTTAGCACGCCACCTTACTTCCGTAGCGGGTTCGATTCCTCGCATAATACAAAAATACATTTGTGTAACCTTATAAATATTGTGTATGCATTTACAAAAAATGTATTCAAAATTAAGTATTTCTAAGTCTAATATCTATAAAGAAGTTCTGCTTAGCTTCGAATTAATGAGGGTTGTGACAATTGTCCTTGTCATGGGTTATGGAACTTACGACTGTCTCATTGTACTTAAATAACAACGTGCGGAATGGGGACAACGTCATAGAATACAGAAACTGCTATAACTAACCACACTACACTTTTCCTGTGTTTGCGTTTATGCTAGGTAGGTGCTCCTATAAAATCCTAAGGATGAAAAAGAGCGATTATACATTATATTCATCGTTCGGCAATCGTGCCCTCCAGTGATCATCCCTACAGAAAATGAATAGGCGTAAAGATATAGTAAGGCTAAACTTCGTACAAAGTTGTCTGCGTACTTATGTCTCACTAATTGCAGCCTCCAAGCCGCTTATTGGCAGAGAAATTATGGGGTTCGGAATTCGGAGGTACCTATGTACATCCACTGTTCGTATCTGATCATTTAAATAAAAAATGGTTTTAGTTTATTAATATATTTATTGCAATAAAAAATAACGATGGTATTTACAACCACGTCACGAAGATTTTTTAAAATTAAAAGCAACGATATGTGATTGGCAACAATATTTTAAATAATTAAAGTATTAAAGGCTTGATCATTTTCAATTAAAATTATCAAGCCGTAACAGTTTTGTGTGTCAATTGTTATTCATTCATTATAAAACATAATATGTTAAAAGTAATTTCCCCTTTCACATAGGATTGTAGTTGTCTTCTAACATTATTCATCATTAGTGTACTTACCATGCAGATTTGTGACCTATTCTCATATAAACATTATTACGAGATTTTATAATGAAGCAGTAATAGTTTGGTTAAAGTACAATAATCACATTGTGACAAAATAAGGTACAAACACTCGAGTAAACTATTCCATAAAATCATGATAGATTCCATAATCAATGAAACGTACAGTGTTGACGAAGATACTGTACAGTAGGTATATAAATATTCACAAAGAATACAATATAACTCCTCTAATTGGTAGTCGTTAGAGAGTTTTTAATAATAATACAACTAATGAGTAGATTTGACTGCGCAAAATTTTTAAACAATATTAATATAACTAGATAACTAACCAGTCTATTAATAGTGAACAAATTGAAAAACAACATATTTCCAAGATTTATGTAACTAATTCATAATAGTAACAACTAGGTGGGTACTAAATCAACGAGAGAGATTTTTCCAAATCACCAATACCAGAAACATCAAATTGTAAAAATGGCACAGCATAACAACGCGTACAATGAGAGAAAGAGGCTTAATTACACCATTAGGCTAAAAAGCACAGCCCTTTACAACAAATGTAAAATTTAATCTATACTAAAATTTTATTCATCTACGATTACTTCAAATTAATCTGAAATATTTACCTAATGTACTAAAACCGGAAGAAAACTAGTTATAGATCTTAATTTACAATATCTTCTTGTACCTATTCTACAATCTTTCATCTACATGGTGCCTATATTGAACACACACGATAATTCTTTTAATAAATGAAATTATATATGAGATTGTATATTTATTACATGATATTTTCTATTTCTACTGCCAAACATTCTCAGTAATTTTCACGATCGCACTATGTGATTATGAACCACGTCCATTGTTAGGCTACGAATAACGTGGTCATGCAGTACCACGAAGACAATAGATTTCGACCTATTACATCAAAAAAACATACTACATCTAGATCTATATCTAATACTCAACGAAAACTTTCCAGTGTGTGTTTAAACGCTAAAATAGACTTATGGCTTTCACCAATACTGATATAAAAATATGGCAAAAATTAAATAATTTGTTTCCAATGATTGATTCACGTAATTATTTGCCTAATGTAATTTCAAACAGACTTTTCTATATATTATAATTTAATTTCCTTATTGCGATTTGTTATCAAAAATACATATAGTTTTTGTTATTTAGGAATTCTATTAATAATGTTATTAACTAGTGGAGTTATGGTAAATTTAATCGACTTAATTATATAATGAGATTGTGCACAATGTATATGAATATGGTGTATATATTAGTTAATATTATAATTTGTACTTCCGAGATTATTTTCATATTTGTAATCACAGTGTGACGGACAAGTTACAGGAGTATTATCGTGAAAAATATTATTTTAAACTCCATATTAAGGTTATTTCAAAATCATAAATTTGATCGTTTTATAACATAGCCAACATTTAGCCAACATAGCCAACGTTTTATAACATATAACATAGCCATTCTATAAATGACCAATTCCAATGAACAATTTTATAACTACATTAATAATAATTATGATATATTCTTATTTAATTTTAAATACATTATACCTATTGACAAATTAGTTCGTGAGACATATTTGAATAATTTCCTTAAAAAAATAGTACTATGCGACTGTAGCCTGTACTTGTAAACAAGTTTAGGCTTTAAATAATTTGTGGTAGGTATACTTTTTATTAGTGATATTTGATTACAATTTCTATATAACCACGAATTTACGATTTATTGCTGGGGATTAAAATAAATTGTTGTTAAAAAAATACTTCATACGTAATAACTATATGATATCAGATACGTAACGCAACGTTATTAAATTTGAAGATCATTTACGAATATAGTCTGGCAAGGAGATTTGCGTTATGGAGCCAAACATATTTCAAATGTTTGAACACATATTTGAAGATCTTTCATTTGAACACAAGTCAGAGCAAATAAAAGTGCAAGTGTTCACTGCATACCATGTTTTGCCAATTTGTTCATACCACTCTCTCATTACCGAAGATTTCAGTCACAATATCACCAGATCATGCATACATTTGAACTTCAAACACTTTCAATGTGCACACAAAAACCAACACGGGTCAAATGTTTGTTCAAACCCTGAAGATGTCTTAAACTTTATATACACGTTTCTATAGTATTTGCGTATTTGAATGTTTGGCGTCATTGAAGTTGACGATGGATGTTCACACTGAGGTGACGAGGTTCATGCGCGTGCGCGCCGCCCGTCGCTAGGAGCCGCTGGCTTTCTTATCATTGTCCATCAGCTTATCGTCCGCACAGAATTTCTCAAGTTGCTTGACGTAGTACGTGTTGAAGTTCAATCTAAAAATAATATTAAATTGAATTAATTATACTGACTTCATTTCAGACAACTTATAAGTAATAATAATAATAATATCCCTGGTCAATTCACACAACGTCATCTAGTCCCAAGGTTAAAGCAGAGCTTGTGTTACTAGTCAACTAATATAAATACTTAGAATTTTTTTCTTTTGTATATACACATACGTAACAGAAAAATACCCAGACCGATAAATTTTCTAAGTCGCCATAATTAAGGTGTCATGCCTCTATACCCTGTATTTACATGCTCATCGTTCAAACAAAATATGGCTTATAAAGCTCACTGATTGGCGGCTGAAACAGCAATCAGAGATGATCTAATATTACAAGCACAAATATAAATAAAACCCTCAATAATGCTGAACAGCCGTTCGTTAAAATTTTCATCAATACAGATTGAAACGAGATCTTGTCTGATAATAAAGATATATTCTCAAATATCGTCCCAATCCTCCGTCGTATCAGTTCTTGATTATATAATATAATCAAAAACAATATTATAGTACTAAATAAATAGTATTAGACTATAAAAAGTAATAAATGCGAGATACCTGGCAGATATATTCAAAAGTTTATTAGTGTTGTTATCGCGGGCCATCCTCTCGATTATCGCAAGCACGGAGAGCAACGCCGCAGTAAAACGTAGACCGTATCGGGAAACTGAACGAGAAAACGAATCCGCCGATCCGCTCGTCGTGGATCCACAACAACCGGTGCTCTGTTTATTTAACATAATGTTAATTTAGTTTATTGACATGTACCTATTTGAATATTGAATAGTGCAATTGCTTGGACCAGTTTATGCTCATATAAAACTTTCAAGCATACCCATTCTTGATCGACAAAAAAATATCTTTCGTAACCATATTTAAAAAGGCTGCAGCCCAATATTGGAAACAGAAATATAAAAAAATTAACAAAGATAATGTACACATAAATTATCAATTGAATCTGTTTAGAACAGTTCCAAAGGATTTTGTTAATGAGGTGCAGACTGTCAATAAATAGCTGTTCTCACATAACAATATTTATAATCATTATTTAGTATAAAACAAAGTCACTGTCGCTGTCTGTCCGTCCCTATGTATACTTAACTCTTTAAAACTATGCAACGGATTTTGAAGCGGATTTTTAAAAATAGATAGAGTGATTCTAGAGGAAGATTTATATGTATAATACATGTACACCAGGGCGAAGCCGGGGCAAGTAGCTAGTTATGTCATATAATGTAGGTCGTCACGACATCTACATTTGGATGAAGTAATAAAACGCCATAATGAATAAAAAAAAATTAGATAATATATAGAAGTGTCTAAACAAATCGTAAGTAGTAAATTTTTATGTCCTAGGCGTGGATACTGAGGGCATGATAAACTATATTCATACTATATATATATTATTTGTCAGTTTTTATTTTTATATACATTATATATATTTTTTATACAGAAAAATAAATAAATATACATAATAATGCAACATTTGTGGCAGAATAATATGATTACGTACGCGGTAGATACTTCATTTTAAAATACCAAAACTATCACGTACCGTTGTATTAATATATCGCTATACACCGTCAATTTTAAACCTATTTTAAGAGTAATACAAATAGATAAGTATTATTGGATTATTTGTATTTTTATAACCAAAGCTTTTTTATGTATATTATAAGAAAAGAATTAATCCACATTATTTACACTTCCATTTAAATATTACTGCGTATTTTAGATGTCTTACTAATATACTCGTACATAATTACTATTGCACATAAAACAAAAGTGAATTTGCTAGTTATTTTTTGCTTTCATAGGTCAACCAATAAGCACAAATTTATTGTAGGTATGTACATACTGTATTCGGGATGACGAAAAAGTAGGAAATGCTTTTTATCTCTCTCAATAAATAAAAATGAAAATTAGGCTGCTCATATACAATTCGTCGTCAGGTGGTCAACTGAGAATAATAGTTATTTGAAGACCTATGCCTATTACTAATGGGTCCATAAATAATCGAATTTGAAGCTACATCTAAAATATAATATATTACATATAGATGAAAAAAAAACAGAAGTTCATATTAATCCTGGATTACCCACCCACAGACGACTATGTTAATATTCGTTAACCAATATAATGTACAATAGGCATTCTCAGCCAATTACTTTGCACTAGTTAGACAGGATACATAGAAGTAACATAACAACAAATACACGTAATTAATAGTGCAATAAGACGGCCTTAATGAAAGCAGCATATTGAAATTTCAGAGGTGGTGTTTCAATAAGGGACACAATAACATAACGATGAAGTGTAGTTTATTAAAGAAGCATTAAAGAATACTCACCGTTAAATTCTAAAACAGAAAAGTCATGAAACAATAGTATGAGAAGCATTAATGTTTTTTTTCCTTTACAAATACTACATGGAAGCATTATTTAACAATTTAAGGGCACAGTTTTACTAAATATGCAATGTAACCGTAACTTTACATGGTACTAACATATCGCGAAAATTCAACCAATCAGGTACCTACTGGCTTATTTGACCGACATCTTTCGATTGGCGCATTAGTTGCTACACTCCGCCTTCTTAAGAAATGCGCCAATCGAACGGCCGTCTGAACTAAGCCTGATGATGTGAGTTCAGGTTGATTGGTTCAAATTTTCGTTTTATCCACAGGTGCGGTAATGCTCATTTTGGGTGTTGTGATTGATCTTTTAGTGCTTTAATTACAATTATTATTTACTTAAGTGCACTAATGTTTACATCAGCTGGTCTAGTTAGGTACCTCACTATAGTCTGTATTGTCATACGTTGATCCAAGCATACTGTTAAGCTCTGCATCCACGAAGTACTTGTGCATCTCCTTTTGCCAATTAACGTGTTTGGTAGCGTTAAAAGAAAATATAAAGAAAATTATCGTTAAAAATTGTAACTATACTTGATATATAAATAACAAGCCATACTTACATAAATAATAATATATTGCATATCTGACTACAATCTAGAAATATATCTATTATGCATTTGAAACCACGGTTACTAAATGTTGATTAAGTAAGTGGTTAATTAAATCAACTTTAATTAACTAAAAACAACATTGAAAAAAAGCTCCCATCACCAAATATCATATATGCAAGTATCATATATAGATTTGATTATAAATTATAGATATCTAGTTTAAGTAACGCTAAGAAATAATATATTTAATATTGTAGAATAAGATAGTTTTATAGAAAGCGTCTTTCGAAACCATTTCTCATATTTATCTTCCCCTACTCTTTCAGTTATCGTTTACTGTTAAATTTTTCGTGCATTGTAAGAGCATTATTTCGAAGCTCGATGGCATTCCATTATCGGATGATATTTTATGACTTTGAATATGACGGGTTTCCATACAACGGCTAATCCCTTATTTTACCAATAAAGGGCAGTTATTCCAAAAAATCCGTCTCTAGTGGATGTTTTTATTATAGAATATATTCTCTGGCAAAATTTGAAATTTCTAACACCTGTGGCTTTGGCAGTGCGTTGATGAATCAGTCAGGACATAATAATAATACAATTAATTGACTACTTTGATTATAATATACAATCAGTCAATCTAAATGTATTTCAAATGTCGTAATAAAACAAAACTTATAGCATGTTTTATAATAAAATATTTAAATCTAACACATAAAATATTTAAAAAATTGTATTGCAACTTGGTATTAAAATAAATTTAACTGGCTCTTTTAACATACTTTTACAATAAGATTACAAACGATTGAATTGATTAACGATACTTACATTCTTAGGGTACCCTGGAAATCTAAAAAAACAGATAGTCATGTCGATTTTTTATCGACAAATAGGCTGACGGCTCACCTGATGGTAAGCTTTAACCGTCGTCTATACACATTAATAACACTTCGGACATTATGTTATCATTTGATACCCATAACACCATTCATGCGTTGTTATTCTAGAGGAGTACCAAGTCATGCCTCTTATTCTGTAGTATCATAGAAATGAAGGTAAAGAGAGAATAGTACCTGTATGAAGGTGCAAAATTGGACGCAGACAAGGCATAGTGTGGTAACCGCTTTTAATAACTGAGGACTTGTCAGCATGCAATCTCCAAGGCATGACTCCAAAAAGTCATTGTGCCGTTCAAGCACTTCATCCACATTATTGACCTGCAAATGAATTAAATTATAAAATGTTATTTCTTTCCTGAGATAATATATATATATATATCTATCTGTCTAAAATTTAAGACACTTTTTAGTTCAACAAACAATATTATATCATTGTTTTTTTAACTAAAATGTTAATATTTCTTTTTTAAAGTAAATTTTTATTCCAAAATTACTCAAATTTGCACCAACAGTATAAATGTAGCGAAACAATAAATATATTAAGATTCGCTAATATAGAGCATACTCTGTAATAATGTCATAGTGTCAAATAAATTGTCAAGATTTGTTCTATACCTTTTCTCTTAAAAGGTATAGAAAAAAAATTGATACAGTGAATTATTTCATTTTTATATTACAAATAACAAACTGACTGAGTAAGATTTTATTTTATTATTTTAATAATGATTGTAATATACCATTTTCAATCTTTTTTTAAAACGGTTCAACAGAATTAAATTTTACTCAATACATTTGAACAAAAAGTCTATTTATCTCTGAGAGTCTCTATTACTCAGTGCCAGAGAAACTTTAGCACAGCAACCTGCATAGATATATTATGCTCGCCCTTATTTTAGAGTCACTGCCTGGGCCTATCAGGAACTAGAATTGAAGGATATTCTTAGAAATTATAGCTTTTATCTCCTGAGTTATAGAGTGTGTACTTTCCAAAGCAAATATTTCGTTTATGCTATGTAACCTTACAGTATAATTAAAATGATACCTTGTCTAAGCTATGTATAAGCTGGCACCAGGATGGCTCAATGACTTCGACGCACATGTAATACTGCAGATGTTGTATGCAACTAAGCATGCGTTGACGTAGTGCGAATGCATCCGCATACAGGCGCGCCTCAGAAAAACGCTTCACCACTTTATTGTTCAGCCAGACTCTGAAAATGGGTATAAATAATAAATTCTTTAGAAACACCAGAATGTTTTGTACACAGTTGTCTGCATATAATGTTGTGTTATCGTTGTAAATAATAGAGGTTATTTAAAATGTTACGATAGATTGATGACTCTACAAATGAACGATTTAATATACCAAAATGCAACCGTAATTTTTATGTATTTTAAATCTCTTTCTGCTCTATATAGTGTTAATTTGTCCACAGCAATAACATGTTTTTCTATGGCATTCAAAGAACGAAGTTCACAAACTGTCATTAATATATCAGTTAGTTTACCTGCACAGCAACCTCTCCACATGTTTACAATAGAATAGGTGCCTGAATATCATCTGGTAGCAAGCTATTGCCTTGTGGTTGAGAATGAGTGAGACTGGCCACTTCACTTCCATCCCAAATGAGAATGTCTCTATGCCAGTTAGAGGTAGGCAATCTTTATTTTGTTTGTATTCTGAAAAAACCAAAAAGTGTATAACTTTTATTATATCAATATAACCATCATTATCATCAATATAAACTTTTTGTAACCAATTTGAATTGCAATTAGAAAGTTCTTTCAATTAAGTAATAATTAACACTGCAACTAACATACAGAAAATTGATAAACCAAAGGAATAGATAACAAATCAAACAAATGAGCGACATAGTTCTTTGATAAAGTTCATATATACACTGTTTCTTATTAAAATCTGTTAATGACACAAATAGAAATGGTTAGGGTTGCTACAAATACCCTTTGTAACCACTAATATTATACTATGCCTCACCTTTTTCATCTTCAGTTTCAATAGATAAGATTTTGAACATTTGAAACTGGAGATCGTATGGCAAGAGTTCTACTCTCATGTCTTCATTGTATGGGTCATGACTAGCAGCCGACAGTCTGAAATAAGTAAACTTTCTAGTTATATTAATATAATATGTGATTTGATAGTTTTATTTCACCTTTCATTACAATATTGTAATGAAACATGATATTACTATAAATTTTATAAGGTATTTGCACCAAAATAATCACTGCCAATTTTATTACACATTAAATATAAATAAAACTGCTGTTTACAACGATATTACTATTAATGTTGAACTATAAAATCGGCGAAAACACAACAACAATAAGTTGTAATCTTCAAACAATATAATGCACCTTTTGCTGAGGTAATGGAGAGATTAGTTTTAGGATACAATGGGACTGACATGTACTTAGATGATACAAAAGTCCTTAAATTTAAAAAGAAATAAAAAAAAACGTTACCTCAAACAAAGACCCAAAAGAGATTCCAACTTGGATGGTATGATATCATCAATCTTTTTAGAAAGTTCTTGGTCTGTAGCATCCATGAACTGTACAATAAAATCTCCTTGACTCATTAAAAAGTAATTTTTGACTGACTTGAGCCTACCCATCAAATCATATTCTTTCAGCAACAATTCTAACAAGGATTTACTGGCATATGCATATGCTTTTTGTATTATGGCACCATAATTTTGTTCTCTCAAAGAGTACTTAATTTCTTCTGTGTTCGTTTTCGTTATTGCATTGCCTATAAATAATAACATATTGACAACCCAAAGATATTTTATATGTAATGTATAAGGTATTAATGGGACTATGAAGAATGTGTTGACAAATATTAACTTGTACAGCCTAAGTGGCTTAGCAATTTAGCACACCACATTAATTCCCATGATTTCATGAGGTTCAATTCTTTGCACGATGCAAACATTTATATTCATGAGAATGATTTTTGTACAGGTATATAGTGTTTTCTATCTATATTATGTATTTATTTCCAAAATAAATTGTATTTAATTATTTATAAACTGTCTACTGTACTCATATCACAAGTGTCAGTACTTGTGATGAAATGGCAAAAAAGCTAATAGACCATCTGATGGTAAGTGGTAACCATCATCTATATATATGAACAGCACCACAGACATGACAATGCATTAGAGAAAATCGTTATCATTCCTGAGGACTAAGATATCATGATAGATGAACACGGGTACCTACGCAAACGACATTTTACAGGCAATGTGGCTGAGTGAAATTAATAAAGTATTATTCTGGACAACTCTCTTAGTTGTCCAGAATGATTAATAAAAATGGGTACATACCACATTGACTAATCACATTCAGGTACTTTCCAGTTCGCAGAATAATATCAGTAAACTTGTCCAGAAATTTGGGCACTCGATCTCTTTGAATACTATAACGTTTCTCCCAGTAATCAGCAGAATAGTCCACAGGTAATTCTTCCTTATTTATTAGTTCATTATCTTCAATCATGAATTCCTAAAATTTGACGAAAGATAAGAAGTTTACCCCGCGACGTTGCATACGTGATGTCCTTAATTGCAATTGTCATTAATATTTTTTACATTATAAATAAAAATCTATATTCTAAATTTCAGCATTGAGATAGATAAGTCTCAAGCTAGTTTTGGCTATGCGCTGATAGTTAGTCAGGTTAAACGATTTTACAATCACAAATTTCATGCCACGGCGTTGTATGCGTGATATTGTTAATTATCACTAATCCTTTTTTAATGGATACTTACAGCATCAATCAAAATGTATATTCTAAATTTCAACAATAAAGACTTAATATGTAGTTTTGGCTATGCGCTGATTTTGTCTATGAGTTAGCGAGGCTAAACGATATTACAAGCACAAATTTTATGCTTGAATGACTTCACCATAGTATGATCTTCTTTACAAGATAATTATTATGATACTCATATTAGGCTGACCCCAAATAATGTCGATGAAAAGTTATATATTTGAATTATCAATTAAGCAATCCAAAATGTTAGAGCAATTTTGAGATAGGAATAAATATAGATTTTAGTTATGTTTATTAAATATTTATTACTAGATGTATACAAGTAGGTATAATAAATATATAATTGTATTTACTTGAAAGGGATCCACAATAGTGCCTTCATGTATCCACTGATCCAAAATGCTGAGATAAGGTCGGCAAGAACGCTCAGTTAGGAACAACGATATTTCTTGGGCTCTGGCATCACCCATCAGCGTGTTTGTTTTATCATGGAGCACTGTTAAAACAGAGCCCCCGCGTAGTTCACTCTGTAACGATTAAAATTAATTTCATTTTCTCGTTTTATTCTTTGAGCGGTTTTGTACACCGCCTCTTACTCTCGATGGTCGCTCGTCGATTCCTTGCGATACAAATATTTGTTTTACATACGTCAGTATTATTTTCATTTCTATTAGTTTGACTGTTTCCTACATATTATGTAGGTATTTACCATCAAATGTAGCACAAGTAACACAAGCATTGCTTAGCTTGGAAGTAGATAGTGTTAATTTCCTGGGAGATTATTATTATTACAAAATACATTTTCTTTAAAAACAGCTTAACATATCTTGCCTTTGTATTTTGTTTTCATTATAAGAAATAAATTACAAATAAGACAAAAAATAATCTGACATAAAGTCTCGAAAAAACGACAAAAGAATAAAAATTACTTAAAAAAATAATAAACCACATGCATGATATTACACAATATTCATATGAATGACTTACTTGCAGGCTTAAAATTTTTACATGTACGAAATGAACTCAAATTAAATAATTATATAGAAAAATTACAACGTTTGTTGTGATAAAAAAGAATAATGTCAACAATCAATCCATACCTATATAATTTAAGGTATTGTAAATAAATATTAACCATACCTTTCCAATATTAGTAACAATTGCGGCAAGAACTTGCATCGTATGCATAGTAGGTAATACAAAATACCACAGCTTTTGCAATGTTAGGCTACCTGACATATGCTCAGTTTCCAGTTGAGCTATCATTGTCTGAAAATAAAATAAACAATATTTCAAATATTATCTCAAATTTCAATGTAACTTTAATGCCTGAAGTAGCCCTATATTTAAAGAGTAATACAATAAGTCATAACAAGGCCATGAGATAGATACTATTTGATACCAAGATAGTATTGAATCAGTTGTTCACATAATTATTGGATATATAGTAGTCAAAAATATACTATAATATTAATTGTTCGAAACTTACATAATAATCCTTTAATAGGATTTCAATAGCAGCAACTAGTGCATGTAACACTTGTCCAGACCACATATTGCAATTCTCAATAAACCTTTTAACAATAGAATAGTTAGAAGCTAGTGGCAGCATTTGTTGAACAATCTGCTTCAGGGCATCATCTAGGTCATCTGATATGATAAATGTACGGGCATCATAGGTATCTTTGACAGTTTGATGGACAATATAGTTGCCGGGAAATCCAGAAAACACATACAGCAGCTCATCTATGATTATATTCTCTTGAGAAACTATTGGAACTCCAGCTAATATAATGAAAAAAATATATATTAAGAAATTGGCAATTAGTGCGCTTACTGTTAAATAGTTTAAATTTAATTTAACATACTATAGTAACAATAGATACTTAAATCTAAATATAACACTTGATAATAAATAATCAAGTACTAAATGTAGGTATACTGAGATGGAATCACAAAAATCTTTTGAATACTTTTAGTAAGAACTTTAAACATTTGGCAAATCAATGTCAATAATTAACTTGTGTAAATAGATAAAAAACTTAGTTAATTGTACTGACTGAAAATATTGTAGAATTTTGTCTATTGGTCAAACTCTGTCAATGATATTGTAAGCACTTCATTGTTAGCCAGCTGAAACTTACCAAGAGATGCATTAATGGCTAAAGGTTCTTTAGGAAAATCCCAAGACATAGCTGGATGGTCCTTCTGCCAACTGGGAAGGTCCAAACTGCTATACCAATTGGGCCGAAGTTTAGATGATTCTTTCTCCTCAAATGACTTCATAACAAGTTTCTTGCTTTCATCAACTGCTTTTAACAATTTGTCTTTGATCTGAAATGTTATTATGAATAACATAAATTTTAACACTACAACATTTTCCATTTTTTTTTTCATATTTAAGAAAATTCTACAATGTACTAAATCTTGTGCAGTTATTTTATTCTAAAAATTATATATTTATTTCTTTTATATATTTCTTAAATATATTAAGATGTTGTACATATATTCAGATGTTTTGCAGTGAACAAAGAATGAATGTATGCATCATTAATATTACATAAGACTATATAATGGAAAATTATAATTTCATTACTAGACCTGAGGTACATCTTCTTTTGTAATCTGATGCTTGTTGTCACCCAAAATAGGCTTTGGAGCAACTTTTGGCTTTGTAAATTTTGTTTTCTTTTCATCATAGACCAACTTATAAAATAGTAATATTAAATCCGACAAATTATCAATGCTGCAAAAACAAAAAAATTAAAATTATTATGAATAATGTGAATTAGCTGACAAATAGTTGTATTAGATTACAATATGACAATAGCAATGGAAATTATTGAAACAAAAATCATAATTTGTCTTTAACATATAGACTTTCTAAATAGTCATCTGTAAAAAGTATAATATTAATAATAAATAATTTGTCACCTAATTCAGCCACCAAACAGCTTGCTCTGTAAGCTGTGTTTTGGTTGAAGGGTGAGATAAAGCAGTGATATTACAAGATAAGAGGCCAAATGTTTTTACCCTACAGAATAACAATGCATGAACTTTTTTTCAAGAAGAGTATTTTCAGTATTCTTAAAGATTGGCAACACGCATGGGATACACCTGGTGTCTCAGGAGTCCATAGGCTATGGTAACCATTTACCATCAGATGGGCCGTACGCTTATTTACCACCATCTTTTCAGTATAAAAAAAAAATAAAATATGAGAAGCAATTGTAAGAGACTTATTCTAAATGACTTAGTTGGTAGATCTGCCAACCAATAACCTAAACCACTACTAGGTTTAGGAGCTATATGGCTTTCATCATAAATATATTATTGGTTTCATTTTACATTTTATTTACTTACCACTTAATTATCATGGTTACAGGAAACCAGGCAAAGTTGTGGTAAATAATGAATACAATTTTATTTCAAAAGCATTCACTTCCTATGAAAGCTAGAGGACTGAAAGTTTCAGCCAAAGTAGACTTGTGTTTAACAATGTTTATAGTGGAACATTCCAAAAACTAGGATCCTGAAGCAGCCATTGCATTATAATAAAGTTCATAAACCATTACTTTTAATATTAGTTACAGACAAACATATTTTTTATAGTTATAATAATAACTAAATTCACTCTTTATTAAATTACATATGTTTAAGAACATGATGTAATACATTTGCTCTATACAAAAGGAATGTACTTGAAAGCTTAAATGCTTCTAATTATTATTTATACTCACTTGCGACTTTTCAAATCTTCATATTTCTTGAGAAAAGTTTTGGCGTTTGTCGCCTTGTGTGCCAACCTCTGGGCATACTCATTTGCTTGTTTCGATGAAAGATTACTATTACCGTAGTTAGAATCATTTTGAATGTAATCTAAAACTGTGTCGGCTTCCAAATTACACCTAAAATACATACATTTTTAGTTAATTTCAGGTTTTAAAAGAATAAACATTTGAAAATGTCATCGATAATAAATTGATATTTACCCCAATGCGTCAAGCAACTCCTTAATGGTAGTTTGCATCGTATCTTTAGGTAATAACCAATTTTCGTACATTTATTTATTAATGTATACTGCCATAAATTGCAATAAAAGCCGCATTTGTTAGTTGGACATTATTTTAAACGAAATGAAAATATAGTCACAATCAGTACTAATAGTTGTTGTTACAATTGACATTAATTAATTATATCTACTCACATCAATTAACTTGTCATTGATGACAGTGACAGCAGCAGTCGTTACTAACTGTCATTTCGATTTGCCGCCTATTTATGGATGGCGTGCTAAATCTGAAGAATACAATGAGCAAGCAATCACTACACAAGAATAAGCGCGGTGTGTTACTTACCTCAAGCGCCTTCCTCATCTACTTATTAGTTAGTTGATCGAGTGAGAACTACTAACAAACTACTAGTTTATTACAACACAATAATCTATGGATAATAATTTCCACAAATCTTTTCCCCGCAGTGGATCATACTTCTACTGCCATCTTTTATTGAATAGTGGTATTTTCTAATGAAACACTTATTTTATATCATAATAATTTGATGTAGGGACTGACACTGTCTAATAGATGCCGCTACTTATTTTGTAATGTCACTGACGAACTATTTAAATTGAAACTGGAGATGACGACTCCTAATTTATGATTATATTAGCGACTTTTCAATGAGTCTTTGAATTTCTCGGCTTGTTCTTATACTATAACACGCATGTATTGTATACACATACATACAAACATTTCTTTTGAATCACTTTATCTATTGCTGAAAACTGCACTCTCCTGCACTGCAAATCCGTTGCGTAGTTTAAAAGATATAAGCGAACAGATAGCACTGACGACTTTGTTTTACACTATGTTACGAAGATAAAACTTTAAATCTGATTTTAGGGGAAATTCTATTGAAACTTAATTTTAAAAACAATATATAGGCAGATCTATAGACATAAGTCAGTCTCACATTTTAATAAATACAAATAGAATATTAAACTAAATACAGTTATATATATTCCAGTAATTGATAATATTATAATTGTAGGGAAGAACTTGTACACGAGCCTTAATATTGAAGAATACCTAATTACCTAAATTATTACACGCGAATTTACCTAAATCTATCTATTTAAATTAGTCGTTGACTTAAATAAAGGCTAAAGGAAAACTGCCATTATGTTTGGTGAGTATAATTGTGAAAATATGGCTTATAAGAGGAAACAGTCGTACTATATTGCACTACTTTTCTTTATAAAATAATATGGAGACAATAAAAACAAGCAATATACATGTAAAAATGTGCATCGTTCACTCTGTTGAAAAATTCTTATGAATTTCTTTATGATATAATTAATATTAATAGTAAGTATGTAATAAAGCTGTAAGTCTTTTAGTAGCTAAAGTCCCTAAAGGATTAACACCAACAAACAAAAGATAAGTTAACTCTATTAAAGAAAGCTCAACTCGAAATTCCAAAAACAAGCCCTTTTCAATTTTGGTGTCCACCTGACTGGACTATTTTAATGGACTCGCATGGAAACCTTGTAATATCCCAAAGGATGAAGCTATTTCATAATCCATACCAGATATGTTAAAAAACACTAATCATGTTGGTAGAGTTCACAGGAGAGAAACACAAGCGGTAAAAGTGAGTGTTGACGTACGTCAGAAAAACTTGGCTCTCAAGTCCCGGGAAGTGCTCGCTGTTTCTCTCTCTGCTACATGATGGACCCGGCACGTGCTTGGTTTATCCATGGAACACGGGGTGAAGGGGATTGTTAGTAATGTGGACTCCTGACCCATTACTGTTAATGTACCATGTCAGGTTGACCTCCACGCAGTTCCCCCTGGAAACCATCGTTATAAATTTCTGGTGATTTTGTCACGATGGGCTAACTGACCTGACCTCATGTTCATCTTATCATCCTCCAGTGGTGCCCCGCCAGCTTAAACCGTTAGCGCAGGCGGATGCATCATTCCATTTTCATCCATAAAAAAAAATCACATATCATGGAACGCTAAGAAGTTTTCTCTTTGTACTTAGTAGGATATTTCAAATTTTTCGTAACAATGGGAAATAATCAGTACGAAAACTGTCAGTGGAAAGCTATCATGTGGAACTAAGTACTAGAGTCGTTTTGTTGATTTATCGGGGTTTTGCCAGTTACATCACATCTTATTCAAATTGATGAGCGATACCTTACTCTATTTCCTTCCTTAACAATTTACCTACTTACCTAAGTCATAATGAAACTACACATCTAACTAACGTTTCCTTAAAGTTGTCTGCAATCATAAGGAGTCACTAATGTTGTGTCTGTAGATAGTTTTTTAACGGTAAATAGAACTAAAAAAATGCTGTATGGCCAAAACGAATTCAGTAAAATCGGACGAAGCCAACGTTTACAAAAAATCTCAATAAAATATCCGTTTTTAATTACGAATTAGGAACCTTCTCCTTTTTTGAAATCGGTTAAAACATAACAAAAAGTGCAACCAAATCTTTGTTTTGCACACTTCATGCGAACAAAATCGTTTACTTGATGTGTAATCCGATTTTTATAAAATAAATGGCATTCAACATAAGTAATGTAAAAAAAAAGCAAGTTTTTCTCTGTCAACCAAGAACTTTTTTTGTTTGTCGGCATGTTACAAAAGTTACGACAGAAGTTCGGCAGTCGTTTGTACTTGAATAAAAGGTCTCGGATTCTGTTTTGATTGTTTGATACGAAAACTAAAGTTACGCCACTTTTATAGAATAGGAACTCACAACAGAACTGCTTGGAACAATTATAAATATGATACGTGTAGGCATACAACGATAATCCGCCGTCACAACACATGTGAATATCACACTAAGTGGATAAAATTTAAAAAAATATTCTATTCAATAGATTTTTAAGTAGGTACCTATAGATTGTTTTATATACAAATAATCTAAAAGATGTACTCATTATTTTTAATATTGACTTAGAAAATGTGTCTACTTAGATATTACGTACTACCTATGGTAGAGACACTATCCTACTAATACTAGTAATATTTATGCTAGATTAATTGTATTAAAATGTACCTATTCAATGGAGTCTTTTGTCAGTTCTCGACTGAGGTAGCTAGCCGAACTGAACGGCCCTCCCGTTCAGTTTTAATATAATAATGATAAAAAATAAATGTATTCGCTTATTTGTTATCATTCATGTCATAAATTATCATATCATGAATTTAACATTGATTTTAAAATAAAAAATAATTATTATTTATACATACCTGATGGCGGAGTGAAATGTTAGTATTAGGAACTGGTGGTCAAAATGACTGCATTATTAGCAATGTATGTAGGTACACTGTTAGGACTCCAAGCGGCATACCGAAAGCCCTTGTCATTAATTTATTGTCTTACTACGTATTGTACAACTTTACTCTTATTAAAGCTTCTTTCATTGGAGCTCTGTCAGTAAATGACATTAGTACAGGGACTGGACTGTTTAGTTCATCATCATTCATACAAGAAGTACCGGCTTGTGTATGTTAATAATATTCTTATATTATAGATTATTATATCTATATTTATAAATATGTTTGTTACATAACTATTTTCTTCTTCAGATAAATTCCATTTTTATTATAAAGATGGTAGGGGAATAAATTAACAGAGGCAAGTATTTATAATTTCTTTAAAACTATACATACTAAACATACAACGCCTTAATTCGTCGCCTAGATCACGCCATATTCAGGATTGGTCAGTTGTGCATCGCGCATTATATTAATATTAATAAAACTTTATTACGCAAGTAACGAACATTTTATTTAAATTTTTAAATGTCACAATATAAAGTAATAATATTATGTTTTTTTGTTTTCCTATCAATATTTCATACTTAATAATGAATATAACTCAATTGACAAGATTTTTATAAAATATTTTTATTGTCTATTTAAAGGAAAAATCCGTGTTTAACAAATCGGCGGGGTCTATAAACGTAATATATACCTCAGATATGTTGTAGTAGTCGATTCAAGTTGAAAATATACCTGTATTGTAAAAGCATTCATTTATTAATTTTTCTTAATAATGAGAACATACAAACGTAAAATTAAATAATATCGTTTCTCATACAGTTTAATATAAGGAAAAAGGTATCTTAATAGATGATTTCACACATGTTTAATAGGTTCGTATATTGTATAAAATAGATTAACAAAAGTATTAATAATGGGGCCAAAAAATGATTTAGAAAAAAATAATTTCAAGAAGAACACCATATTAAAGAACTGAAAAAGAGGAAAATCCAGACTAATCATATTAAATTTGAAAGTTAAAAGCAAGTAAATTTAATAGAAAAATAAATAAAGACGAGAAAATGATAAATAAAGTTTAAAAATATATTTTAAATACAATACATAATGCATGTATATGTAATTCAGTGATTTCTCAGGTGGTGATAAAATCTCTGTATATACGTAAAGACTTTAAATCAATGATTAAAGCTTTACAACATCATTCATTAAAATTATAATGCAATTAAATGAATAGTAATGTTGCCTAAGCATTAATATCAACATATAAACATTTCAAAGTATTTGCTGATTTTAATAAAAACGTTACGCAAAAATGATTAATATCCTTTAAAGAATTTAGTTTTTAGTTCATGAAAAATATTCGTAATTTGTAATGTCAATTCTGTGATGTTGGACATATTGATTTCACTTTCTTTTAAAAAATAATGTCATTTATATGTTTTTTTCATATTTGTTTATAAATGACGTTTTATTGGCCGCAGAGCTGTTAATTCTATTAAAAACGTGGGTGGATTTAACATACGACTTATTTAAGAAAAAAAAATCTATTTAAGGCATCGTTTATTTTATGTTTGATTTAAGTTAAAAATATGATACACTGAATATTTTTATTTAATTGACCTAAAGATCAGGTCTAAACGTTGAAAATTCTTTTGTTTATACAATGAAAAATGCAATTTTTGTTAACGCAATGTAAATAATATATATTTATTTGCTTTGAATAGGTTACATTCTTCTTACAAATTAATTTAGAGTTCCATATTCAGCTACATTTTGAGCATGCAAATTTATATTAATATTAATAAAATTTAACAACGAATGTCATAATTATTTAAATTATTAAATGTCCAAAATAAA